TATGCTTTCATTGTACTTCGATTTCCTAATCAGAAAAAAGTTAAGGTCGGTTTTGTAAATAAATGCTTTAAAATGGCTCTATGTAAAATGCCCTTTTAGCGTTTAAGTAGTATTGGCTTTCCAGTGACGATATTAATTATTGGATTTTTGACTGCAATCAATAGCATAATTATTTAGGATTACAAACTACTTCATAATAATAAAAAATCACTGAAAATTAAAAAAAAATGTTATCAAGTACCTAAATATGTCATCTAAGTTATTGATTTGCAATTTTATCAAAAGTATACCTATTATCACTTAATCAAGTAACATGGATTTTTTTTACTAGAACTAGTACATCCTAAGCTTGGTTGATCGACCCGTACTAGCTTGACGTTGAGTTTCGAGATATTCTTTATATATGGATAATATATATATATATTATATATATATATATATATATATATATATATATATATATATATATACAAGTAATTACTGTTAAAATTTCTGCTACTTATATTTATTTTTAAATTTAAAATATATCGCACAAATAAAAATAGAATGAAATATAATAATTCGTATAAAATAGAAGTAGATTCGTATAATATAAATATGAATAACTACTTCTATTTTATACAGAATTTTTTGCATTATTCTCCTAATAAAAACAATGCCAAGTTTGACCTATTAAACGCGTGAAAACCAGCAATGAAAACTTGATTCGACCAGACTATAAACCTTTCAGAAATGGGAGGATGATTGTTTATAAATAATTTATAAGATAAATTCTATTTCTACGGTCTTCACTTAGATCGACCTTTGTTTATTTCAGCTGTTAAGGACATGGTTTAATTAAAATTATGCTATTATGAACTTTTGTTTCTGTGATGTTTATTATTTTACTTTGATTAATTGGTACAATACTTTTTGGAACTTGTTTACAGTTCTAAAATATTATTATAGTGATTCTCAGAAATATATCTTTTCGGTTTAAAAATAAATAAGGATGCCTTCTTTTATTTGTCTTCATTTTAAGATTTGAAAAATATTGCATTCCATTTCTATTTGAATTCATAGCGCAGTAGTTTAACAATGAGTTGCAATACTAAGTGATGCGGATTCGAATCCCACTCAGAACAGGTATTTGTACGGCCTTAACCTAATAAGTTTTATTTTTATTTTTGATTATTATTATAATTGAAATTCTAATAATAAACAAAATTAAAACACTACGGCTGCCAACTTGCTTGCCAAACGTGGAAACTATGGCAAATCCCCCCCTCCCTACGAAGGAATGGAAGGTGTATTCACACTGGAGTAAAAATTCTTTTTTTTTTCAAACATTTAATTAAGTTTAATGGAAACAAATTTTCTTAAAATTACTTAAATCACTAATCAGTATCGATAGATTCTCCAGTTACATTAATTATGAACGAATTTTGTTCTGCAAGTTCCATGTCATCCAAATTCCACATGGTATTTTTCTTCCAACGATTGGCGTCTATTAGTGCTATTGCGTCGTCTAATAATTTTTATGTCACTCATTTTGAACGTGGAGTTATTGGCACTAACATAATTTTTTATTTGGGCCCAAACCAATTCAATTGGATTAAGTTTGCAATGGTATGTAATGGTAATGGTATGCACTTGCTGTTTTTATTACTGTGCTCTCCACAGTCGCATTTAAATCACACAGTTTAAAGTACTTATAAACATTGTAAATTACGCGTCTCTCTCCGCTATAGATTATTGATCCACTTTTATTCTTTCAAATAGGTGAGGTATTTGACGTCACAATGTCATTGTTAGCCCGGCTACCTTCAGTTTTTGAATATTAATTTTTGGTCCGATTTACGCAAAACGAACTTACAGTATCTTGAAGTATTGCAGTGGTATGCTTGGGTTTGGGTTTAATTTTGTTAATTATAGGGTCCCAAGCAGATGGCAGCACCCAACCATCTTCTCTATTGAAATTAGGATGTTTTTTTTAATTTCAATAGCCTCACGTATCATCCTTGGTAGGAATCGGTGTTCTTTTGCGAGGATTTGTGGTTTATCAAATCTGATGTAATGGTGGGGATGTGACAAAATTAATATTAAATGAAGGTAGCCTTGCTTGGGACGTCAAACATCTCAGTCCACCCCGTGACTATGGGTGCTGTAAAGCACCCGAAACGTCGGGAATTAAAAATAAGTAGAATCAGTTAAATAAACGCGATAGAATCTGTAAATATAGTTTTATTCAATGTGTAGTGTTCGCGTAAATTTAAGAAATCATTAGGTGAGGTATTCCTTTTTAATGTCAAAATTTAATGTTGAACGAGTAACACGCAAAATACACAACCGTTTTGTTCGAAGGCCTGACTTCAACTGGTCACTGTGAACTCGACTTTCTAATTTCTTGCATTTTAATTGGCTGCGGGGCGTGGCCAGGCCGGCGGACAACGATGACTCACTATTTTCTTAATGCGAACGAACTATAGACCTTAATTTAAATAGACATCTCTCTCTCTCACTCTCTCTCTCTCTATCTCATACACTCATCGCCACGAACTGGCTGGTCGCGCCACTACGCTTTGAGGTCCGCACCCAATAACTAGTTTTAAAAGTAAATACTGTAATTAAATAGTATATTAAGTGTACTAAACTTCACCGCGGAGTTTACTTCAAAACCTTAGGAAATTGAAACGGATTGTACTTCAAAACCTTAAGAAATTGAAGACCAGCTCGAATGTACCAACGAAATAACATGCTTTGTTTACATTAAAATATAGGTCCAACTAGAAATTGTTATTTATATGAGTTATTTTTTTTGTGTTTGATTTTTTAAAACACATTTTTTCACATTTCAATAAATGTGAGAGTCGAAGTTTTTATCCCTTTTATACCATGATATTGCACTAGTATTGATATAAAATTAACGATCACAAACCAGTACAAACTCCATTTGGTGGTTAGTGGATGATGTGGTCCAGATGCACCTATTAACTACTGGACTGGACTTTACTAAGATGGAATGCCTCTTTATCAGTAAACAGGTTCTCCGGTTCTTGTCTCTCACCATACAAAACACAGCAGTAAAATTGTGTTAATCCCCGCTGTTATTTCGTAAAAACATTTTGTGGTTCTTTTACAATCTAGCTGAACCATTTGTGTTGAGGACATACAACGTAAATTTTTGAATTCTTACCATCTATTAATTATGGGTTCAATGTTCCAATTTTGAGGAAGGCTGTATTTTTGTCACCATTTCCAGTCTTCTATCCATAAGTATAGCTTATTTTTTTAATCGTACACTTAATATCCGGGTCTAGATAGTTTAGTATTGAAAGTACTTGTTTCCTTGTACAACCAGGTGTGTCAAATAGTGTGTCTCAGTCGAGTGCCGAGTGTGCCTAATGATCTTGAACATACTTTATTGTACACCACATGCAATTTTACAAAGAACATAACAAGAAGCAGATTAAATGTACAATTTGGCAGCCTTATCGTTACATATCGATCTCTACCAGGCAACCTTAGGTGTAAAGGAATAAAACAGTGAATACTAGGTAGGTGGTGCAATATAAATATACCTAATATAATATCAATACATGCAATAAAGTAACATATAAAGAAGTAATACATTAAAAAAGAAAATATGATACACATATACATACGTATATACATAAACATACACACACACACACACACACACACACACACACACACACACACACACACGCACACACACGCACACACACACACACACACATATACACACACACCTATATATATATATATATATATATATATATATCCTTCAAATATATTCCTCAAACAGTAACATAAACAAATAAATACAAAAACTTCATAATCACATAATTTATCTCCAAATGATGTTCGAACGATTGAGACAAGTAATGCTCTTTAAGAAGTCGCTTAAAGACTACTATAGTTTGTGCTTCGCGTATATACAAAGGTAGGGCATTCCAGAGCCTAATATACTGGACAGTAAAAGATTTGTTAAAGAAAGATGTATTCTGACTTGGTACCCTTAAAATGAGTTTTCTTGAAGAGCGTAGAGGTTCCCCTGGAAGCCCAACAAAACTAAACTTCTCCTTTAGATAAGGAGGAGTAGAAGGGTGAAATAAGACACAGTATAGAATAGAAAGAATATGCATGTTCCGGCGAAATTGGATAGGTAACCACTCGAGACGTGAGCGAAATTAGGAAATATGGTCAAATTTGCACAATCCAAATATGAACCGAATACTAGAATTTTGAAGTCTCTCAAGCTTAGTTAGCTGGTCTTTAGTTATGTATACATAGCTTGCGCCAGCATAGTCAAGAATCGGAAGGAGAAGAGACTGTGTGAGCATAATTTTTGTAGGAATGGGAAGAAATGAGCGAAGGCGAAGGAAGACGCAGTGAAGTAAGAGCGACAAAGGTTTTCTTACTTACCTCGTTCAGTTGGCGTTTCCAATTTAAGGAACTATCAAGGTAAACACCAAGATTTTTGACATTGTCAAAGTAAGGGATTACAACCCCGTCGAATACAACTGGTGGTATGGAGAACCAGTAAATTCTTGAGATAAAGCTCTGACTACCAAAAATGATTGCCTGCGACTTTTTAGGATTGACATTTAGGCCATATGATTGACTCCACTCATGAATCATATTTAAGTCATTGTTTAATGTAGTGATTGCATTCGGCAAATTCTCAAGAGTTGAGTGGGTGTCAATCTGGACATCATCCACATACATGTGGTAGAGATAAGAAATTTTATGAGTAATTGAATTAATATGAGTAATTGAATTGAAATGAAATTAATGGAAAAGAGTAAAGGGGACAACACGCCACACATACAGGTATTTGCACGATCTACGCGGCCAAAATTATTTTAATACTTAATTGGTATCTAGATAAGGTAAATAAACAAAAAAAAAACATTTTTCAAAAAAAAAAACTATATTTTTTTGAAAAATATTTTTTTAGATCGCTGTATTGGTACAAAGAAAAAAACATAATAATGCTAAGTTTCTTCGTCGCTCTCTGATGAATTTTCAGATAATATGTTAGATTCCGCAGATACAAACATGGCTAAAGTTTCAGGCAAAAATGTTTCTGCTTTCCTTTTCTTTACAGTTCGTATGCTACTGAGCAAAGGATCTGAACTGAGCAGAAGGCGATTAAAAATAACCTGATTACAATCTTTTCTGGAAAATTTCCTCGCAAAATCTTGGCGGTAACATCTAAAATGTTTGTTGCGAGCCTCAGCTGCTTCCTCGGAAAGCTGTCCGATTGGTAATAATGCCTTTTCAATTATGACTGCGCCATGGACTAAAATCTTATGCATTGTTGGCGTCATAGGATGCCAATCATATAGGTTCACGTAAATACGAGCAGTTTCTAAAGCATACCTTTCATATTTCACGGGATCAATTTTGAACCCGCTTGAAATCGCTTCCAATATGACTTTTAGTCTATAAATTAGTTCATAATTGATACCAGTTATTTCAGCGGCTAATTTGGGGTTCTCAAAGAACCTTCTGCTGGTATTTCCATCATTAGTATTCCCAAAATTGGATTTAGGCATATCTATTATTAGACCAGTCTCAGTGCGAAACCTTGTTTGTATCTCTTTTTTGGTTTTATCTTCTAGGTCTTTTTCCTCTTTCGATTTTCTTCCCCTGTATTTTTTCACCTGAAGTTTGTAGGCTAAATGTAGGATACATTCAAATATCCGAATTCTTGCGTGTAAGACCGATATGCCGAATTCAAGGGCGGCAAAATTCACATCTCTCGTATAGTCCAATTTAATAAAATCTTTCGAGGTTGCTCCACAGATGTAGCACCTACTTGTAGACTTTTTGCCTGTGGCTGCATTGCAGACTTTTCTGTCTACCATAGTCATTATAAAACTGTGCTTGACTAAGAATTTTTTCCCTGCTATGTCGACCTCTGTTGGGACTAAAGACCTAATAGCGCTTTTAACGTGTCTTATTTCTTCTTCAGTGACATCATTAGTTTCCTTGATAAATTGGAATCTTATTGGTCTACAAAATCGCGGCTAAGAGAGCGTTGGATTATTCCATAAAACTTTTTTATTGTTATCTCCACAAACTAATTGTAGAGGCACGAAGCAGCTTTGGAATATGTTTGAGTCGGAATCGATATCACTTTCTAGTTTTTGCTTAAACTGTGATTGTTGGGACCCATCGCAGCCCCATTTATTAATTATAGTTAAGCATTCACGCTCTTGCTCATTTAAAGTTATCAATACCTCTTCTAGGTATTCCGATAAACGCCTAACAGTAACATCCATTAGAGGCTGTAACTGAGCTTCGGCACTGGTACTCGTTACCGTACACGATTCTTGAGGTGGGTAACATTTCTTCTTGGCTTTTTGTAAGGCACTATAGCACGGAAAAAACTTCTTATTGGTCTTTCTTATAATTTCGTACTGTCCTTGTGTCAAATCTGCATCTATAAACATTTGCAAAGCTTGCATTGGTGTCAAGGAGGGTTGCTCTTTACTTGATTTCGTAAGATAAAATGCCTTTTTATATTTTGTTGCTCTTGTCGGAGTACTAGTGATATCTTTTAGGACATTTGATGCATCTTTGTTACCAGATTTCCCTAGTTCCACTTTCGCAGCATGTATTATGATCTCTTTTTCAAAATTAGAACGAAGTTCTTCAGTCTTTCGCCTCTTGCTCCTCTCGCTTGCGTCTTCAAACGACTTGGATGGTCGACCTGGCCGTTTTTGTGAAGTCTCAACAACAGGTATTTCAAAAGTACCTTCCAGCCAAGACCGGTTGTATTTAATAAAATTATCTATTTTATAATGAGCTTTGGTCCACTTTTGTTTGATTTCTGATTTGAAATGTGCAAAACCATGTTTCAAACTAACAATTTGATCTTCATTGTAACCTTCACATGACAAAAGTTTATCTTTTAGAAAATTTAATTTGGCATCTAAATTAAGAAAATTTTCGTTCCTCATGAGGTCAAACAAGTATTGTCGGGTCACAATCCTTACTCCTGATGTACCCGCTGAACCTAAAACAAACATATATTATGTTAAAAGTCGTTAACAAATATTTCCAATTTTAGACGAGTTCCGCTGAATATTTTTAATCCCTCTAAACAGTATTTATCCGGACGTTTCCGGAGACGTTTTTGATGGCATTTATAAGGAAAAGGATCAAATAATACCCTATAATAAAAACTATAGCCCGATCTACCCCGATACATAAACAAAAACACTAGCAAAGAAAAAAGATTGTAGGAAATCACGGTGTGAAAATGAGGTTTTTTCATTATAAAAAAAGTAATGTAGTTTGATAGTTGATCATAACTTTATTTATGTAGTTTGTAAGTCTCTTACCTTGTCTATCAGAATCCATCACTTTCAATTCGTAAGAAGAACTTGATAGCATAAAAATTCACTTTGAAAGTTTAATGTTTAGAAAAGCGCCGAGAACAGATACGTACACTAGGTGAAACGGTCAAATTCCGACTGACGCTACAGGTGCGGGGTGAGCGGTAGCAGGTAGCTAAAGCACGGGTATTGTTCCCGGGTTCATACTCTGTTCCTGGAACTCGTTTTTATGAATGTTATTGTTATTTTGATAATGGGACTTTTGGCCGCGTAGATCGTGCAAATACCTGTATGTGCGCCTGCAGTAATATCACACCAAGATGAGTGAGTTTCATCAACATGTATACACTGCCAACGACCACGGAAATAATTTTGAAACCAGTCAATTATGATGGAGATACGTAAAGGGAATACAACTGACTCAACAGTATATCGAAGTCAACAGTATTGAACGCATTACTGAATTCTAGCAAGGTCATGATTGTGAGTTCTTTATTATCCATACCCGACCGTATGTCATCAGTAACTTTAATTAAGGCAGTAGCTTACTATGATCTTCCTAATTACGTTGATAATGTGTATTCTAGATATGCAACTGTTTTAATGCTTATATTTCGATTCTACTCTATAGCCGTTGTCTCAAATTTAGAAAATGAATTAGGGCATCCGATCAAAGGTGACCGCTCAGATACGTTAATTTACATACCTGTCCAATAGTTTACATAACCACCTTGTTCTCCGAAATAGTGGAGTTCATTATAAGATGCTACTAAGTTATTTACCTGGAAGAGAACCCGAAATAATTAGTGACCGCTAGTACAGTTTTAATCTGGTTTGCTTGTCTAGAATTCTCAATCTTCAGTCAAGTAGACTCAATAATGAGTAGGTGCAATAGAGACCAATATATAAGCACAATATAGGTTTAGTTTGGACCCGCTAAGCGCCTTCGCTTCGCGTATTAAAAAGAAGCCCTCTGTTCCATTGCGTTTGGCACAAAGCATTTCATTATTTTTTTCCAATTGTAACTCAATAAGCAAATAAAAAATGACCGGTGGTTTCCTAAATGTTTTCCTATTCAATATCGAGAAGATACAGCTTAGTACGTAAACTATAAAAGTATACACCAATATTTTATACCTCAGTTTGCAATGTAATCTTTGACGCCAACTAGACTTCAAGGATCAAGTGACGATTAGTTTCGCAGTCATCTCGACAAAAAAAAATCAAACTTGGCCTGAAAGTTCAGTGTGCTTAATAGATCGTGACAGTATTTCATTCCAGGGTCTTACTCGGCATATCTACTAGTGCCTCGTAAAGTGGCAGTCGTAGAGAGTAATCGATGGCCCAGCCAACCAATTGGCCGAGTTCACCTGATATGTAGAACCTAATACTCGTCTCTATATCGACTTCATCGAAGTTTAGTTTGAATCGTTTGGTTCATTAGCCTTGCGAAGAGATATTATATGTCTGCATTTTCTATCTACTACAAGAAGTACTATAGAGAATTGTTTAGGTTCATTTTAACCGCCAAGTTGTAATCACATATTGCGATGCAACCATTGACTGTATACTGACTTTATATACATACATGTATGTATATATAGAGGTCAGTGGAAACAATTCTTAATTCATATGTATCTTTTTAGTTCTATACGCAACGTCTTAATATTTGACAATCTACACTCGATAATATTTAAAATATGTGCCATTACTAGCGCCATTGAGCGAGGGGCTTTTAAAAAAAACCTTGATTGATACAGTATTATAAAAATATTTTCACTATTTACGTTGATGTGCAACTTGTGATTTTCACATTTAAGTATAACTATATTGTTAGCTTATTATTATACTCATTTTATTAGCCTCTCCATAGGTGGCTCCGCAAGCTGTGGAGAGGGCTAAGCTCTGAGTTTCTATGCGTGATAAACGACTACGAGTGACCGACATGGCATATGTAGTAGCAATGCGCACGCACAGTGACTACTGGGTAAAATGTGTCCAAGTTATTTTATGAATATACAAGCGAATCGCGCCAGCACCCCACCTGAGTATTTAAAAAGAGAATTTTTTTTATTTAAAAAATCTAAAACATTTCTAATAAAATATAGCCTAGATCACTCTTGACATTGCTCCCTATCAGTTCATGATGTACGTATTGTAGGTTGATTATTATATATTTATAGCCATTTGATCGACAAACAAAAAGAAATTTTTAAAATTGTTATTCATGTTTCACATACAAATCTCCTAGTTGTGTTATTTATAAGCCATTTCGATCGGACAGACAGAAAGGTAAATTTTTAAAAATGGTTATTCATGTTTCAATGCCATACAAATAACCCCCTCTGCTTAATATAAGGCAGTTATTTCGATACTACAGACAAGCACTTCAACTTCATTTCTATGTACGTATAGAAAATCTTAATGACGATGAAATTTGGGAACATTTTATTCTCAGTGCCACTTTAATGTAAGTGTTGTGCTTTCATTTTAGTGGGACTAATGAGGTAGTGCTTGTAATATTGCTCTTGTCGGAAAGTTTGTGTATTCCTGAAAATGCAGATTTTGAAGTATGTTGGTTATTAGCGACAGGAATATCATTAATTCACACTCACAACACGATAACAAAATATATTAAGACATTTAAAATTGCTAATAACGAAAATCTTACAGAAAATGCTTTTGTTTTGAATAAAAAAGCATCATTAAAGTCTGTTTACAACTGACAAAAATATCTCGTACAAAAAATATACAGTCAAATTTGAAGTTGGATAATTTTAGGGACTTGAAAAACCATGACGCTAATTTTGAACTAAACTGAGCAGGCCTGAACAGAATTAGAAAGTAAATTTTTATATTTTTAACAATAATTTACAATAACCTGTAGCTTTCTACATTCCCAGTGACTTATTTAAATTATTTAAATATGTTTCCTTGTTAAATAATATGCAATATTGTTTATGTAGTTCTTGTTTTTTTTTATTTGCTTAGGAATAGAATATTTTTTTTATGAACAAAACCATATTCTACGCTAGTTTATTAAGTATAGCTTTAGTCTTTAAAATATAGGTATATAATTATGTGTTTTATGCGCATACACTAAAAGTTAGAAAAATATCAAGAAACCGTAATAAATGATTTCACTTAAACTTTAATCTAAGACATTACCAAGTGGTGGTAACTATTTACTATTTCATTCGTTACAATTATTTTTTATTTGAGTAATGGTTTTCGATTACATAATTTCGTAAGAATTTTTCATATGTAAACTTTGCTATGAAAATAATTAAAAAATATTATGTTTAACAATGAAGAATCTTCCTATATTTTATAGTAAGCCTTACATCAACCAAGGCGTCAATTGAAGAATTCGGAAACTAAAAGTCCTTGATTGTGCGCTGTCGGTAGTCAATAAATATTAAAACCAAGAAACATTTTCTCATCTGGTAAACCATCAGAATCTTAAAACTAAAGTATGCAATCAGAAGATGTTCCAGTTTACGGAAGTTCAGTATCACGGAAATGAGATCTAGATGGAAGACACTTGAGCACTAAGGGGCGAGCTACCGAGAGGGCTGTGTTCGGAATTTTATTGCGTGATGTATGTAATCTTTCAGCAGCAAATGAGTGTAAATGACAAAACCACATGGTTTAGTAAGCTAACGTTAAGCGATAGAGAACGACAGCGTTCAATTATTGCGAGTCGGCGCAATTGGTGTTCAAAAAGCCGAAAACCAATAGCGAGGAAAGGTTCTTGGACACTGTGATGAAGATACTACACTGGACAGTGAAACGAAATGACTAGACATGAAGGAAGTCGATGTTGGCATGTGATTTTATATAGTGATTTATGGCAATCTGTGGGGGAGGTCTAAGCTTAATTGTCGATGATGAGCTGTTATATTGATTATAATGACGATGATGATACCAAATAGTAGGTCTTAAGTACATATAACGTGCAACATTTAACACACGTAAATACAATGATATCATACTTAAATCAGATACTTAATCTAAATTTAGATAGTGAGATAAAAAGTCATGTTAGTGAAAGTCATGTTTTCAATAGATTTATAAGTATAATTAGTGTGACGTCGTGGGTGCGGTAAAGGAGCATTATAATATGTCCGCTACCTTAATCTAGCTAGCTCCGTTAGTCCGCTATCTTAATGTACGTAAATTAATTTCCTCTAGTATGGCTGGATTAGGTGTATCTTTGTGACTTTTAAATATATTAATCAATAAAATAATATGTTAAATATACTACTTACATATATTAGGACTTTATAACGTTTAAAGGTGTCATAGGTTTCACATTTATTTTTCATTTTAAATATCATACATTTTAAAATAAAATAACTTTTTAAACGGTCTTTTATAATTGCGGATGCGGGAGCCATAATACTTCTAGTGTTCTCTAAATTACTGCGCACGCAGGCATAATAGATGAGCTTTATACAGTGTTCTCTTTAAAAGGATTTGTAAGGTTCTATTATAAAGCCAAAATTGGTGAAAAACTTTTTGACAAATAGCCCACATTTATATTAGATTATCTATCATATAGTAGTTTTATATGATTGGCTATCAACGAGCGTACACTATCCCAATGAAAGACTACGAATGATGTAAAGGAATATATTCCGCTATGAGAACCGTCACATATTGTATTATATACGTTTGTATAAGCGACTGATGTAATAATATGAGAATTAAAAAAAAATTACAATAGAATTAATAACATGGAGTAGGAGAAGAAAAAATGACATGAACATATTGAACACACAATAAAAAAGATTAATCAATTCCACTATGCACTACATAAACTTAAAAAATTACAAATCGTGAAACAGTCATAACAGCCTACCACGCATACGTCTCTTCAACATTGAGATATGGTATAATATTTTGGAGAAACTCCCCAAAATGCGAACTAGTATTTAAAGCGCAAAAGAAATGTTTACGAGCAGTATGTCACTTGCAGGTTACCGATAGTTGCAAACCGCATTTCATTGATCTTAAAATTCTGAACCTACCATCTTTATATATATTCGAAGTAGC